ATATCAATTTTTTTTTTTTTTTTCTTTTCTAAAACGTACAGCTGTACTGCGAATGATAATAATCAAGAAAAGAAAAAAAAAACTATTATTTTATAATTATCCATTATAAAATTGCTTTAATTATATAGTCCATCAATCAACTATTATTCCAAAAACTGTATCACTTTTTCAAACCAACAAAGTTAAAAATGTAAATACAATATTAGATGTTGAGATATCTCGCGAGATATTTTTCTTAAAAAAATCTGTTCTCAAGAGAATATACTTAGTAACCAAAAAAAAGTCTATATGGTTGAGCTGGATACATACAGGTATACTTAACGGCAAAAAAAAAAAAAAAAAAAAAAAGGGGGGGGAAGTTGGGAAGGGGCGTCCCTGCCTTCCTTTTCATCGTATACGCTTCGTTTCGGTCGTCCTCCCTACAGCATTTTTCTCTCAAGTCACATCACTTTTACTCTCGATGACGATGACTCAAACACTATACAACTTGCGCTACACAGGGGTGTACTTATTGCTTGACTTTTTGTTTTAAAAGAGAACAGCTCAAGTACACAATATGTGCAACAAAACTCGTTTTTCCCTTGTAACGAGCATGATTTTCCTTTTTTTTTTTTTTTTTTTTTTTAAAGACTCAACGCTAATTTGAACACCTGTAGGCACAGTCACGCGCATATACATATAATTACAAAGCCCTTTACCGAGAATATTGCCACTCCCCTGCTAATCCGAGGTGTCAAAACCTCTCGCCTACGCTGAATCTCTAATATTATTCTATTTTTTCTCTTTTACCATTTTGAAAACAAAAATAAAAAAAATAGCGCTCGAAGGAATACACGTAACAATGCTATTGCAAAATTTTTTCTGTTTTCAATTAACTTTTGATGCAACAATGAAATTGTATCCTGCATACCTGTGTTTATTTGTATGTATTTTAACATATTATGCACACATGCCGGTATACATAACTCCAAAATCAGCTTGCTCCTGTATTATTATAAAGCCAGTTTCACAGAGCAAAATACACTGTTACGCCAAAGAGAGAGAGAATCTCCGTAAAACTGCTCCGGTTTCAAGTGTCCCTTTATATATATACTTAAGCTGTAGCGTTCGATAGTCCCATGACATGTACACATACGCGTCCAACACGCCGGTATGTTATTATATTATACTCTAGTTCCACAACCTTCGTCGCCGGAATCGCGTCTTTCAACAAATTTGTATCAGCTTATCTGCGAAATAATAAACGAAGCAAAAATAACATCATCATGTACATCACAAACATTTTGATGAATACAAGTATTACGTTTTTTTTTTATACATTCATGACGTGTGTTTTATTTGATGGTTGTTACTTACATGTGTCTCTTATATGCGTGTATTTTCAGAGGACGATGCCCATCACCTGCCGGTGGACGACTTTTTCGAATCTCTGGGTTCCGATCTGGATATTCCCCTGTTGTGCGACGAAAGCCCCGACGAGATCATGAAAAACGCCCTCGAGACCCAGGACCTCCAAGATTTGGAGTTTGGCGGCTCGTCGAGCAGCTCCTCGCCTTGGAGCTTCAAGGACGATGACATCGAGTTTTTCTCCATAGGTCGGTAGTGGTCATGGGTACACATTACAATGGGAGTCATCACTTCCAGCAGTTTTTTTTTTTTTTTTCTTCAACTTCTTGTATAATATTATTTCATGTTGTTCTTGGTTCGGGTGTAGACGAGAAGAATTACACGATGAAGCGGGACCTTACAACTGAGCCCATGAGTACCGTGTTTCCACCCTCGCCGAGTCCTAGTCAGACGTCAGAGTCACTCGGCAGCATCGACTGGCAGAGCGATGGTTGCGGTGGTAGCCAACCCAACGGAGACATCAAGGTTCGTACATATAATCATAGTTTCTCTCCGCCCAACACATAATAATAGGAGAAGGGACTAGTTGTTTGATTGACTTTTGTTATTTTAGTTCACACTGGAGACGCCTCCGATTTCACCACCACAGACCGAATCGCCGCCCGCGTCACCCAAGTCAGCAAATAATAGCAAGAGCCCGCCAGAAGTCAAATTGATTCCACTGGGTGCGTTAAATTTGAAGGACAGCTTGACACAAAAGTTCTTAATGTCCAAAAATCCTGCAAAACGTATTTGCATACAGCCAAAGCTCGACAAACCGAATGAAAAAGGTGAGTTTATACGGACAAAGCACTCGAGTTGGCGTGATGAATGCACATGGTTACATTATTTACCATTATTATGGCAGGAACGCCGAGGAAGACGATAGTACTGAGCCCAAAGGACTTTGCCGCGTTGACGCAAAGGGTGAAACAAAACAATCAAGCCCAGCCGCTCAAAGTTCAAGCACTGCCAATGAGCAAGCACGTGAAAGTCCAAAACCAGCTGGACTTGCTGCCCGTGAACAAGCCAACCTTGTCTGTGACGCCTCTGATTCCGACCAAACCGGTCAAGCTCGTGAGCCCGCTACTCTCGGCGACGAGTCAGTCGGCAGTAGCTCAGAAAGCGCCAACGATAGCCGTGTCCACTGCCACCACGGAAATAAAGCCGGTCCCGGCTAGGAGGACGATCGTCGTAAAGAAGGAAAATCTCACGGCGATGCGACCCATAGCCATCAAAGCAAATTCCGGCCAAGTGCGTTCTCCGATCGTTGTGAAGAACAAGTGTGCGGATCTCATTGAGTTGAACAATCGGTACGAGGTTGAGCTCAAGGCGTTGAAGAGGCAGCAGCGGATGATCAAGAATCGCGAGTCCGCCTGTCTTTCGCGGAAAAAGAAGAAGGAACACCTCATTTTGCTGGAGACTCGGGTGGACGAGCTGGTGCTGGAGAACACAAAATTGCAAAGGGTTGGTTGGCTTATCTCGTTTGGGACAAGGTTTTTCTAAAGTGTTAGGTTGCCACTGTTGATAACGTGATTCGATGAGTTATAGGAGAACGAAGAGTTGAGGAGGCGAGTATCCGAACTGGAGGCACGAGGTACGAGCCCAAATTTCGGAAACAAAGAGGGAATGAACAAGAAAAACACAGCCTTGCTGTTGGCTATGGTGTTCATGGTATCCCTCAACATAGGAGGTCTAGGAGGATTGGGCGGGTAAGTTGGATGAAGGCTGATTAACAACCAATGAGCAACTAACGCATAAGCTACAATGATAATATGTTCTTGGAAAAATTTTTAGTTTCAGCCGGCCACCACTGGGCGACGTGGATTTGAAATCACAGGACTCGTCTAATGTGAGGCACGGCCGAACGCTACTGTGGGCGGTAGAGGATGACGGGGAAGCAGATCGCTCCAAGCCTCTGGTTTACAACGACACGCAAATCCGAAACGAGCCGATGTGCATGACGTACGTCAACCAAACCGAATCCATACGTCTCGACTCTGAGCTCAGGCAATTGATAATCGCCGATCCAGCCCAGGACAATCGGATTGATTGGTTGACAAGCAAGACCGATCTGGAATTAAAGTCTCTTAATGGGATGCATTTGGGCACGTATCCCGTGAAAAGCAAAAATTCCAGGCCGAGGAACATGAGGGTGACGTCGTTGCGGAAAAGTTTGGGTATTAGAAATCGAGTGGAGAGGAAACAAACCGGAACGTCCCTACCGATGAACAACGCGGTACAGGTTTTCTCGCCGATACCCGAAAAGTATGCAGAATTGTTCGACGCTCTTGGCCACAGGGAGGACACTTTTTACTTGGTCCTGTTAAACGAAGCCTTTCTGCTACCGGCCTCCAGCCAAAACAACACCGCCAGGCCCAGGATCTCGCTCATCCTTCCTACCAATGGTACGCTTTTGTTGTTTACTCCACGCATTTACCCTTTTACGTAGATTGAAACATTTAATATGTTAATCTGGCTTTCAGGTTCCAACTCAACGCCGAAGAATCATGTGACGATAATGCAGATCGACTGCGAAGTCACCAACACTCGGCAACTCAACATATCCGATGCGATAATACCAGAGTATTTGAGGAACCAACGATCATCTCAAGCTACTCCTCCTGAGCCGAATAGTACTGTAATGCCGGAACGAGTTTCAAGCACGAAAAAGATTGTAAAGCCTTACTTTCTGAATGAGAGCAGGAGTAATCCGTTGAACGCTTATGCACCGGAAAACGAAAATATTTACAACGCGAATCGAACTTATCCGGGTAAGGAAGATTTTCGTAGATATTTCATGAAAGATACCAAAAATAATGCCAACAGCGAAAACAATCAGAAGGAAATCAAAGAGTTTTCAAACATTACGAAGCAAGTAAAGAATATTACCTATTCTGCTGACAGGCAAATGTACAGAAAAAAACTATTGAGATCCTTTAAACAAGTTAATTTGGGGTAAAAATTTATAATGATCCAGTCACCCGAAAAGAAACTAAAGGGCTGTGTAAAAAAAAAAAAAAATGACGCTCATTTTGCAGTAGCGTCGTTTCTATGTAAGCATATTTATAAACATGCGTGCTTACTAAAGCTCAAGCATAACTATTAACACTAAGGAAACATAAAGTCTGCATTCTTGTAAAGTAATATATGGTGTGAAAGTAAATAACGTTAATGTATTTCTCATTTGTTTTGTAAGTTTGCAAGATGAGTTTGATACGTGGGAAAAAGAAAAAAAAAAAAAAAAATTATTATTATTTAAGTCGTGAAAAGTAGTTACAATTGTTTATCTTTTTGTAAGTTAATCAAACTAAAATAATTAGTTGAATGATAATAAAAAAGAATTTTGTACAAGCAAATTGGTTGCAAGTTTTGGGTGGGTTGTTTGTTTTTTGTTGGCACTATTTCGTGCAACAGTATTGAGTTTTTAATTATTTTTACGATTGTCCAAGACACGAAAGCGGTACTTTAAAAATGACAGTAATAATTATACATAAGGACGAAACAGTACAACGAGCGCATAGTTTAAGATACTGATGTGAACATTCTCAAGCATACATACATTATGTATGATTTTGAAAAGCGTCACATAAAATGCAATAAAAGAAATATATTATGTATTATTTGCGCAAATATGCGATTATGCGAATTTAGAATTGAATTTTCCACAAGCGTGAATTTTAAAGATGTTTTGCATTTATATTATATACGTAATATAGTGATTTGTACATTAAAATGAGAACTTGCTGTATTTAATAAATGAGTTTAATTTTTTACAGTATAAAATTTAAAATGAAAGTAAAATATATATATTCTATTAAAAACATACAACTTTTATACATTAAAAATAAATATAATACTCTAATAAATAGAATTTCTACCGTTAAACGCATAAAAACTTTAAAATAATATTATAAATACATCAATAATTTACTTTAGATCTGGAGTCGAATTGCCAAGATAATTTCTTAAATCTGTTACTGTGGATTGAATGATTTTCGCCTTTACCGTAGGTCGCCCAAGCCGTTGATACGCGGTATATCTATGACATCCACCAAATGAATAGTAATAATCACCTCCTAATTAAAAATTTTTAATGTTTTGTTTTAATTTTTCTTAAATTGAGGTTATAAACCATTGTTTTATTGACCTTCTCGTCCTTTTATCCAGAGAACATCGATTGGTGGTACTAGCGATTCCATTTCAGGATCTTCCAGAGTTTGCATTAGGCTTTTTACCTTTTTTTCATCTATAGAGGGTGGAAATGGTCTAATAAGAACATTCATGGGAACGTTATGTACTTCTGCAGTTGAACTTGAATGGATGCTAGTGTAATTATAATTATCCCCTTCCATATTGTTACCTAATGAAATAAAAGCGATACTTTTTAATACACTTTGATTAACACTTCACAATATGCACTTATAAATTCATTACATTGAAAATACGTTGAAAAACATTTACTTACAAATGCTACGAAGATATGGAATGTTTAATTTTTTAAACTTTAATCTAGCAAGATTCAACATTTACTTGATAAGTACCAGCATAGGTACAGAATAAGGTGTATACGTAGCTTACTCTCTCTATTTTTTTTTAGTAACACGTGACTTTGAAAGACATTTAAACGCCACCTTTATTGCAACATGTGACGAAAAAAGGTGGGGGAGGGAGGTGGCGCCTATCTCAAAGTTAAAATATTGTCGAAATATTAACTTTTAAATTACTTTTAAAATCTCTAATTCTTACAACACATTATTGAGAGATATACATCGAGTTAAAGGTCAATACCTTGTAGAGACTGCATGTGTCTTAAAAAAGCCAATCAAGTCTACAGCCAACTTTTTGTATGCCATAGCTGGGGCTGAATCGGGCGCTTTCAGTACCACTGGCTGTCCACTATCACAACAATGTGTTATATTATCATCTAAGGGGATTTCGCACAAAATATTTACGTCTGAAAATAAAAAAAAAATTACACGTAATAAAAGAAAAAAAAATTGGGCATAAAATGAAAAGAAAATAAAACATAACTCACTTAATTCCTTAGCTAAGCCATCAATCTGATCTTTGCCAAGAGGAATTTCACTGTTGCAATTGTGACATATGACATATGTCATATTAGAGACAATACCAGCAACAGGAATGTTCACTTTACTGAACATTGAAGCTCCTCTCCTTGTAACATCCACTGCAGCTTTTTGTGGAGTTGTGACCAGCAAAGTTCCAGCCACCGGAATATTTTGTACTAGGGATAAATGTGTATCACCTGTTCCAGGAGGTGTGTCGATTATTAAATAATCTAGTGGTCCCCAAGCCACTTGCCTTAATAATTTTTCCAATGCACCCATCACCATGAGTCCTCGCCATACTGGAGAAGACTTTTTTTCGATTAAAAAACCCATTGACATACTAAAAAAAGAAAAATATACAAATTTCTCTGATCCCACAAAAATCAATTACAACAACATCGACTTACCATTTGATTCCGTAATTAACTAGAGGTATCATCATATTATCTTTATTCAATAAAGGAGACTCATCCAAATTCATCATTAACGGTATGGACGGACCAAAAACATCAGCATCCAACAAGCCTACCGACTTATCAGGCTCGACGACTTTCAAAGCAACTGCCAAATTAACGGAAGTGGTTGATTTGCCGACCCCCCCTTTGCCAGATGCCACAATCAAAATTTGTTTTACACCTTGGATTGGCTTTTGTTTCGGAAGACTTTTGGCCATCATTTCTCTTTTCTTTTCACTCAACTCTTCTGATGTGAACTTTGTTTTAACAGAAGAGTAATACTAAACGAACAGAAAAGGACAAGTTTGTTGAAAAAAAGATGACTCCATGACAAAAGCACACTTTGAAGACAGAAGTATATACTTACACGTTTAAAAGGTCGCAGTAAATGCTTCTCAACAAAGACTCTCTGGGTGAATACCGACATTCTGGAGCGCACGATGAATCCAAAACTTATTGGATACCTATACGTGATTCTTCAGAAAATTTTAGACAGCACAAGGGAGTGTTGCCTTTTTAATTTCTGTACACAAAACAGAGAAAAAGTAAAAAGAAACAATGATGTCGAGAGACCGCAAAATTAAATAACGTAACCACCTCGATTTCTAATGCAATAATATTTTATTTACATCGAAGCCGGCTCTTATGGTCATTCTCAAGATTAGGTGGTGATGGTCGTAGGACTGTCGTGACCGTCTTTAAACTCAATCGGTATAGCTATATGTATGTATATACGTATATATATATGAAAAAGGAAATACATGCTGTCTGCTGTGTTTAGTGTGTGCCCCGAGCTGAGGCTGATATGATGAGTTGAATTGAGGGTGATGACGAAGAGTTTCTGTCCAAGAGTTTTGTAGCCGTCATTCGAGAGTTTTGCAGCCTGAGCTCCTTTTTCTTGCGGCTTAAATATGTGACAGTGAGTTGCTGGTGGCGTGTGTGTTTTTCATCGTTTCGGCAGATTCAGTGTTTCAACGGAGTTTATTGTTTTTCGATCGGGTTTGCTCCCTGTAGCCCTTTCGCATTCTAACCTTCTCGTCTTTATCCGTTCAACGGAGTTTTGGATATATTTTTCTACAGTCGTCGACGTTTATAATTTTCCTTTGTTTTTTTTTTTTTTTTTTCAGTCGCCCAGTAGGTACGTGTCAATTTTCAATTTCCAGATCCGAAATTCCGAACCAACGGTTTTTTTTTTTTTTGCAATATACGCACACTCTCCGTCTGACTGAAGAGACGACGATGAGATATTTTATCTCGCGCGGACGTGCGTGTGTGCAATTTATCAATTACTCACTCTGTAGTGTTATTTTTTAATTGAAATTCCAATGCCGGTTTTTGTGTGTAATTTGCATACTGCCGATTTGTTCTCAGCGGATCTTGCATTTTTTTTTTTATTTTTTCAGACTAATCGTCGACGTCGCGAGTGGTGCAGGCTACGCGGAATATGGGCTTAAAAGCGGCTGTACAAGCTCTGAAGTAAGTGTGTTTGTAAAGAATTTCGACACTTTTTGTTTGTTGTACCCATGACAAATTACACAACTGTACGATAAATCGTTCTTATCACTGGGATGAAGTATTTCAATTTTTGGAGCAATAGTTTGCAAGCTCTGTATAAATGTTTGCAATGTCACACTCAGTCGTGTTGTTAAGAACATTAAGCATTGAAAGATAATTTTACAGGAAAGCTGAACCATTGAAAGATAAGGTTCAACGTTGCAAAGATCTATTGAACGACAATGACGCATGGATGTGTCAGAGACAGCTGCAAAAGATTTACCAGCAAGTTCTTATACTTGACTTGGAGTATGCTTTGGATAGGAAGGTGGAACAAGAATTGTGGAATCTTGGCTTTAAGAATTATATAGCCATGCTGCAATCCCAGGCAAAGGATCGCAGAAATCCCAAGCGCGGAGAGTCTCAGGCCATGCTCAGTTGGTGCTTGGAGGCAGCCAGTGGCTTTTACTTGACCCTGCTTCAAGAGATATGCACTGCTTTTGATTTAGATTTGCCATTTCGAAGGTAACCATCATTCCACATTTGTACACGTTTACACACAATTATCAATTATTTTTAAGCAATTTGCGCGTTTCCCGCACCTTTAGAAAAAGTTACGTTTATGGCTGCGTTTCACCATGGAAGGCCGTGGAGAAGCTGTCGGCACCGCACAAGTCCTCGTGCTTCTACGCCTGTCAGTACTGTCTCGTCCATTTAGGTGACATCGCCCGCTATCGCAATCAAAACAAGCAGGCCGAACTCTTTTACCGCCACGCAGTCTCGCTGTCACCGTCCAGTGGACAGCCCTACAATCAGTTGGCTTTGCTGGAAGCCTCGCGAGGAGATAAACTGGGAACAGTCTTTCATTACGTGCGTTCTGTGGCAGTCAAGCACCCGTTTCCCGTTGCCACGGCCAACTTATCCAAAACGCTGACATCGAGTCTCAACGATAATTCGTTCAACGTTGAGAGTAAGGCCAAGTTGACGTCGCAAGAGTATATTGCAGTGTTTTTAAAGCTACATGGAGTTCTGTACAATTTAGGAAATCTTTGGTAGTTATGAATTTTTTTTTTTAATTTTCAAGTGAAATTTAAACTTTTTCTTAAAAATTCATCTTTTCAGCGTTGCAACAACGTACGTCAAGTTATTGAATGATACGCTAACAGCGCTCGTTGCTACCGAAAGTTTCACCTCTTGGAAACTGGTGCAAATGTTGATTATCAATCTGTATGCCTTGCAACACACAGCAGGGATAACGAATGAAAATCAAGAGTTATTGAAAACTGATCAACTAAGCGCAGACGAAAAACTATCGAGAAACTGCATTCTCGATTTGATTGCTGGAAGCTTGTCTGCCCTGCTGCTGCCTGTTTATACGATAAAACATGAAATAATCAACTATTTCGCTCTACCAACCAGTAAGTTTCAAGCTGGCTGAAAAAATTTTAAATACAACTTTTGAAAAAAAAAAAAATATGTATATATTTCATTCCTGTGTAACAGTTAAACTGTGCCTTGACTGGATCCAGCTGAGACCAGAAATTTTGGAGGAAGCAGCGTTTACTTCCAGACTTCAAATATGGCCAAGTCTATGTGTTCTTTTGAACGGTTTACAAAACTGCGTTGCTGACTTTGATTACAATCAGTGTAAGTAGACCGATTTTACATTATTTCATGTGCCTACAACTAAAAAATAAATAAATAAAATACTTTGCGCAAAGGTTAATTGATCAAAATGAAAGAAAAAAAATTCTTTTTCAGATGCCAAATTACCACTGCCAGAAGATCGAGACCTTCAAGGTTTTCTACCCTTGGAAAAGTCTTTTGAGATTCTTCGATTTACGAGTACTGACTTAGAAGACGACGTTGCGATGCTGAACAAACTCAGAGCGTGGCGTATTATTCAGCTAGGCCATCAAATTGCGCAGTACCAAGTAAACGGTGCGGCTCTCATATCTTTGGGTATCGTGGACCAGAATGAGGAGAAAAAATTCGTGTCTGCGACGGATGATGTGGGAGTGAGCAACGAACTAATAAAAGAATTGGAAGAGCTCAGTTTGAGTAAAGAAAAACAGCCTTTTGTTGCGAACAGTCCTGTACCATCTGAATCGGCAAGCAGCAAAGGATCTTTGGAGATCGATAGTTTAATTGCTGAAATTGGCTGTAAGTCAACCTTCAAGATTTGTCATATAAGATTGACATTGTTGAATCATCATTATTTATTTATCATATTTTTAATAGTGGAAAAACGAGGTGGCATACTAAAACCTCAAGGTTCTTTGGAACGTAGTCGCGATTCGTCAAGCGACCCAAGCTTGGAAAGTAATTCCCTACCGCCTTCAGCTCGAAAGCCCCGACAAAACGTGGCGATGCAAGCTATTATGCGACGCGCTGAGACTGAACAGAAACAAGTGACCTTTAAAAACGTCTCACCGGTCGTGATTGAAGAGACTGAGAAAAATAAGCCTGCGACCATTACCCCCACGTCAGTTGCAACTTCTCCTGCATCCCCTGCCAAGACCAACAATGTTAAAAATATTATATCCGTATCGACGACCGCCAGCACCACCAATAACATCCTCACCAGTGCACCTGTCCAGTCTCGCCCTCCTCTGATGCCAAGTGCACCGATGAATATTCACTCTAAACCAACTCCAGTGGTTCAACAGCAACATCAACAAACACCACAGCTAAGCCAGCTTCAAATGTTGCAGTTCCAACAAAAACTTGAACAACAGCTCAAGGTAAGAAATTGACGAATCAATCCTTCCGAAACTTAATGGAATAACTTTTTATTTTTATGAACAGTTGGATAATCATCTCAGCAACGTGCAACCACCCTCGTCGCAGCAGCAGCAGCAACAGCACAGAGAAAGCATGGTGCTCTCGTCACCTCTTGTTGGACAATTTCCGCATTCGGAACGTCCGGCACCACTTCTACAGGGACCAGTACTACCTCCAAATCACGGCCAGTATCCTCAAAAGCAACAACCACAACAGACACAGGGGGTCCTTCCTCCAAACGCAGCTTGCTATCCGAATCCTACGTTCAATGTTCAGACTCCTCAGTTCAACAAAAATTTTATCCCCAACAATCCCTCAGCCTCGCTGCAACAGTACGCCATGGCCACCAGCATGCCTAGCCAATTTGGCAACGGACAACCGTCGGTCGCTCAAAGCATTACCTTTCCACCAAACGTCAATGTCAATCAGAACCAGCTGATCCAGCAAACGCAGCAGCAACGAGGAAATTTCTCTGCCCTACCACAGAGCAACAATATGCTAGCTCAAGGCTTAAATCTGACTCCACCAGCTCAGCAGTCGATGGCTAATCAGAATATCGGGCTAACAATGCAGCAGAATTCATTAGGCATGCACCCACAGCAAAATTTGTTGGCAAATGCACACCGACCAGTTAACGGTTTAAATTTGCAAAACCACATGGCTATGCCATCTGGAGCCTATCCAACCAGTATGACGGAAACGACGATTTCCAACGCAGCTCCAACAAACATTCGCCAGCTGAACTTTACAGGGGCAAACTTTGGGCAGAATAATTTTGCCCAGCTACAGCAGCCGCAGAAGCAAATCTCACCGACTGCTTACAGTGCCGGACAGCAAGCGCAGTTCAACTTTCCAGCTCAGACAAATCTGAACCAGAAAAACCAACCACCACCACCGCAACAACAACAGCCAGCAGTAAACAATTATCCAATGTTTCATGGCTACGAAGCTAAGGATTACAATCCGTGGAAAGAATCGCAACCACCCGTCAACTGGTGGGGGGCCAATAATCTCGTGGCAACTGGACAGTTATTGCAGCAGCAGCTTGGCAAAGATCATCCAATAGTTAATAATACAGACGCGTTTCAAAACTGGTCAAATTCTACTGCTCAAGCTGGACAGCACATGAACACTGTACCTCTGACTCCTGGAAATAATTACCAGATGCAGGGACGCATGTACAGCGGTAGAAACAATTTTGACGACATGAGACCATTCGATGTGAGTTTATCAAAGGTCAAATGCAATTTTGATCGACGGCTCTTGTTACATAAAAATTTTTAATTCCAGATGGATCAAAAGCAACAGCAGCAGCAGCAGCAATCAGCAGCGACAGGCAACACTTACTCGCTCTTCAGTGGTAACAGCTGGGGAATGAACGGACAGCTGTCTTCTGGTGCTGTATCTTCTGCCAACCAGCAAGACCAAATGAAGGCTCGGCTCAGCCAGCAGTCGTTGTGGTCCGGGCCTGGTCCGTCGCCCCTCGAGCGCCTCCTCGAGCAGCAAAAATCCCTTCGCGAGGGCGGAACTTGAACGACATCGCTGTAAGAAGGCGATCGAGGAACGACACGACGCTAGATGGGAACCCGCTGATAAAATGAAATACAAATGAAGAAAAAACAAACAATTGACTAAACTAATAAAGTAAACACAAAAATAACGAGCGAAATTCGCCTAGGACACATGCAGCTGTCTACAAAAAAAATACAAAAAATACAAAAAAAAAGCTAATACCGATATACACGGGTAAAATATGAACGGATAATCGCAGTAATAATACGCACGCCTAAGCGAGCCCAGAAAACTCCATATAACAATATCGTCGCTCATACGGGAACTTTCAACATCGGGAGGTACGTTAAAAATTTAATCGTGAAATAACAGAAATTATAGAGATGACTTATGTAGAGTAATCGCAAAAAAGTGAATCGTGTGCAAACGGGGCTCCCGACAGGGACTCGGATTGACACGCACCAATCTATTTCTTTTTATTTATGATTACATCCTGAAAGACGCAACGTCGAAGCTTCGTTATATTATTAAATGTGTCGCGACGAGGCACTTATGTATTTAAGAAGCATCTATTTTTTTCTCTAACTGGGGGAAAGAAAAACGATATCGGATTATCATTGAAAATTAGACAATGTTTTATAGATAAGTAAATAATTGTTCTTTTCAATTCATGTGAGACATGATGAAAGAGACATTGATTTTCTTTTCGTATATTAATAAATGTTTCTTTGAATCTTTCATCAAACGTGCACGGTATACGTTATTCCAGATGTATGAAAATAAATACTTGACCCTTATAAAAATTTTATTACACGATTTGTAGATAATAGAATGGAAATGAAAGAGAAAAAAAGGAAAAGAAGGAAGAGAAACGGAGATCAAAATAAAAGGCATCAGAAAAGTTTTTAGTATCTTAAAATTGGTAACGATATTCCATTGATGAGATATTTTTTTAAATCATTGAAGCAGTTTAATCTGTGTTTTTCGTTTGTTTAATCATCGACCTTTCAGTCTTTGTTTTTAATCTATCATTTACATTTAAAAAAATCAGTATATAGTATGTAAATGTTGATTGCAGATAAAAAAAAAAAAAAAAAAAATGAACGAACACTTGGTGAAATATGTGAATGTTTTGTTTGAATGTTTAACTTGTTGACTTCTACTTTACGGCTTTAGAGTCTCGTCTAGGACAAATCATAAATAGAAATTTTCTTGTAATTCCAATACACCGTCAAATATTACGAGTGTTTGCATGTTTGAAAAATTTTATCAATTAACAATATTGCAGTTCGATAAAATTATAAAATATTGCAAATAGATTTTGTAATGATATAACGACATGTAATATTTAAAGATCTAGAGACTGACCCAAATAATCATGCAGAGTGAGTTTTAGGCCTGTTTTATTTTATGCAAAAGGCTGCTTGCCTGTATACACTTGAAAATTTATTAAACTAATTGCATAACGATTGCGTTTTAATGTAACGAAATTCATGATAATTATATTCATTACCTGCAAAAATATATTATGTTAATAAATTGAACCATATTACATACATTTTTTTGTTAAAATACCCAATCTTTATTCTAAATAGTTACAATACGTCTTACGAGTACAAAATTATAAATGCCTGTTTGTTTTTCTGAACAATAAATATCATTTTATGTAAAAGTATCGTAAAAATTACAGTTTTTTTTTATATTTTTAATCAAAATATTTAACAGTATATGGATGTATTTTCTAATTTAACAAGCATCTTATGAACCACTGATTTTTTTTTTAGTCTGCTCAAAAAATTTTTTACAAACTTCAGATGAACAGATTGATCAACAAATTACTATTTCACTACAGATGACAGTCAACCTTATAAATTATTATAACTTTCATGATTAATTTCACACGTCTTCAATGTAGAATAGTCTCGATTTTTGCCATCAATAACTGGAAAATCACAGGCATAAACAGTCTTTATTACACTATTCAAGTATTACGCGTGAACACTTATAACATTGACTACTAACTACAGTCAAAGAGTCAAATGATTTGTCAAATGAGTAAATTATGTAATAAAACTTAATTACATTGAAAAATACAAAACAAAAACTTTTCACTTCACTTTTTCATTTTGGTCAAGTCGTCAACAACTTTTTGCACCACCAGACTGCAGTTTACGGTTTGTTTTTCTCCCATGAGCTGTGACATACACAAACTATTTACAAAAAGACTTTTGGTTTTTATTTTTTCTAAGGTCGTTCTGCAAGAAGTAACCTGAAAACAATTTATTTGGATAATGAATTTTTAATAGGCAAAAACATAGATTAACTTGGATAAAAATAGACTCACTTGTCCGTTGTAACTCATACTGGTATTTTGGTTACCCAAAAGTAATGAGTAGTTAAACTGCTTTGCTACAAGAGCACTGTTTATTATCTGCAGATTTCCCTGCAAGTCACCTGCTTCATTAATGGCTATGTAAAGATAAAACAGTCCCATATCGGGAATACTGATAACACGTTCATATTTCTTATCTAAACAATTATGTTCCCATTCCATGACATACTTTCCAAAGTCCACTAATTTTTCCTAGAAAATGTATAAAAAAAAAAGAAAAAAGAAGTTAGGGGCTGAAAGTCTAAGGATATCGAGAAAATGAAAATACCTCGATCAAATTTTCTTTATGATAATATCTGAAATGTGGTATCATACGGCCATGTCCCAATTCCGTGTTACAGTTTTCAAATTTACAGGGATATCGCCCTTTTCCCACCGCGGTAACGACTTTTGACTTTTTCTGGACATTTTGATTAAGATCTGTTTTGATGAGAGGTGTACTACCACTGATATCATTGCCCCAATCAGTTTGTGTTTCAACACATATCATGTCAGTACGACTGGCATTAGTCTTTGGATTGATAAGCGAGGACTGTTGAAGAAACATGCAACAAGTAAATATTTTGAATTGAAAAAGTGACGCAAGAAAGTGTGAAAATGACCTATACCTTTATCTCCTCGAACTTGGTTAGCAAGCTTTCTGCTAAATAATTTCTTGTTCCATTAAAATCACCCTTACAATAAGGACACACGCTCAACTGAGGCTGGCATTTTAAACACACATGATGTCCCTGAACACATGTGGGAACCGTAGTTGATAACGTTTCGCAACAAACAGGACACTGCAGTAACTCCTCTAAATCGGAGGCAAACTGTAAGCAAGAAAAATCATGCAATCAAAACAAAATACGTTGCTGTACACGTTATGGGAATCGTAAAAATAATACACACTATCGTAAAAATAATACCTTATCTCTCAATATATTGATGGGGTTGGTCATATTTTTTCCCAATGACAGGGCCAGATATTGTTGATGCAAAATTGGAGGCAATGTTACTTGTTAAACGGCCAGTTGTCGAAGAAGCTTCTCTCCCTCTTGTCTCGCAACAATTCTCCCTTGACAATTCAAAGGACGGTGAATCAGTGCTTCCTAAGGTATTTGTAAACATCTATATAAATATGGTACACATATACTACAGTCATATAGTCGCAAACATAAATTCATCAAATAAGCGTAGGAGCCAATATGTAAAATATTATGTGCAAAATTTTACTGTCGTTCGAGTTAGTGACACTACAACGCAAATCTTGCTGTATGTGTGTCTAATCTGTAAGCAAAGGAATTTTTTTTAAATGTTAAAATCTATTTTATTTAAAAATTTGGGATAAATAATTTACCTTAAGTCCTCCGAACCACCGTTACAACTACAATCTACAATTCCCTGGTCGGGAATCGGCAATAAATAGACTAAGATGAGCGAGAAATGGTTGGAAGTGTTGGAACGTCGGGAGGAAAACAATTTTATCTCATGAAAAGGTAAGGTTAGATGACCTTTTTGAAGGGCATACAAGTATTTGCGCAAAAATTGCAAAATTAAAACGACGCAATTGAAAAAAAAAAACTTTATTTCTTACACAATCACAAATATGCATAAAAAACTTTTCCCATGACAAACAATATAATAATTGTTTTTTGTTTTACTTTATTTAGGTTTCTTAAGACCTATAAATCGTTTATTCATTGTATACTTATGAAAAAAAGAGTCACGTCTTGAAAAATTACTTCTCTTTAAGGTCAATCAGTTTTTTTGTAGTCTCGTTCATGTAGACATTTATATTTTTGATTTCGCACACCAAAAAATTGATTTTTGTTTGCAATGTATTATTATCTTGTGGAGATGGCCTCTCCAAGTACCTCTTCAAGTACAGCATAACGTCATTCTGATAGTTTAAAAACTCGGACAGCCTAGTCAGCAATGTTTTGAGGCATTGTCGATAATCTTTGGTGGTATCCACGGGAATGTCGTCGTTAAAGGCACGAATGGACAACTAAAAGAAATATTAAAATAATCACTCACAGTGTAAAAACCATATACATAAAACAGTTTTCTCCCCAACTTACGTTTATTTTAGCAACCATTTTCGACAAGTGCTCGATTATGAAGCTTTTCGTAGCCGTAAATGGACTTTTGCATGTGGGGCATTCTTGGACTTTTCTTCTGCACGTTTCGCAAACGTGATGGCCGATGGTGCACTGCACCACACTAGACTTCGCCTCAAGGCAAACCGGGCACTGGATCACGTCCTCCACCTCGTTCACCAACTGCAAAAGGAATTTTATTTATCTTTGCGTATAGCAAATACACTTTGGCGTTTGCAATTGATAAGCAATAAACAATTATCAAAACAGAGAGAGAAAGGGGTAAGAAAAAAGAATGATTTACCTCGCTACATATTTGCGACAGTCCCTTCTTTTTCTCCGCCATTTTCCTCTTGTTGGAACGACGTTATATACTTTACAATTGTTTTTATTTTTTAGCAATTTATTTGATAGCAACCAAACACTTAATTGGTTTTCCCACAATTACAAGATATGTATTCAAATGATATACAACGATTGGCCCTAGCAAACGGAAAGTTCGACTGTAAACACCGTATTAACATTCAACTACTGTGCAGCCGGCGGCCGGTTGTGGACTGAGCCGAGGGTAAAATTTTTGTACCTCGCTGCACAGTCAGCAGTCAATACTTACTCTGCAGCGAGTGCACAAAGTCAAAAAGATAAACAAGCGACGATCGTCTTTTGTTACGACGGACGGAAATCTGGGAACTTGTACCTTATACTTTATACAAGATGTGCGTATACCTATATATACTTCTAGTGGAGAATGTAAACAAAAAGCAAAGCCGGACAAAGTAGGTACGTTGCATACAGTAACTCCTCAAGAGAATATTGTACTTACATAATTTGAGAAGATGAAAAATGGTTTTTGTAATTAAGAATAAGAAATCGAAATAACACAGTAAGTATAGAACCGTTTGCTTTTACGGTAAACATTCTATCTTGTATATTTTTTTGTTTTATATGGGTGTATTTTAAAAGAATTGTGCAGCAACGTTTTTATGAAAAACGAAGTCAAAAATACACACGCACAAAAAACAATCAATGGCAAAAAACACAAAATTAATAATTAAATCGACTAAATATTCTGCAAATATCTTCTTATTTACCCATTGATCATTTCGATGTGCATAACTTTCAGTTGGTAAAATTTTTTTTAAGATAACTATTATTGTCCCGTTCATACTTACGTAAAAATGTTTAAATTATATAATTTGAATAAGTATCAAAATTTTAATTGATAAAATAAGCTTTTACAATTAAGTACCTATACCGTATTCGAGTACGTGACAGTATTTGGATACTTTGTTTGATTGAGGAGCAAATGAAGGGAGCTAATTCTACACGGAAAGGAAGCAAAATGTACAAAACGATATATGTATGTATCTTATTATTTTTTATTTTCTTTAGAAACATGTAGGTACACATAAATAAATTGTACACATGAAAACCTACAACTTATACAAAGTCTATATAATATGTTGTTACAACAGACAAATGGAGAAATAATAACGAAAGTATAAGATCAAAGGGACTGTATGACGAATTCACATCGATTTTTGGGTTAGTGGACATTGATACAAATAATCGTAGTGATAAACATGAGTACAGAGTATATATTGAAAAAAAAAAAAAAAAAAAAAAAAAAAAAAAAAAAAAAAAAAAAAAAAAAAAAAAAA